GTGTGGTCCTTCAGGGACCCGCTGTCAGCAGGATTTACTTGGCATTATGTGCAGGGCAGCCTGAGCCAGGCTTCCCAGGTAGCATGCAGAAACCAAGTCAGGCCAGCCTGGGGTGTGATTCATCTCAGCCTAAGGCAGATGTCTAAATTAGAGCAGATGATTCATGGCCTTGAAATTCCTCCATAGAATACAAGCTTCTCTCACTACCAGGGAGCCTACCTCTGCTGCAGGAATTTGAAAGCAAAGGCTTCCCCTTCTTGGAAATGCCAATTCCCTCCAGGCAAGGAAACTGAGGCACCAGCAAAGGCCAGGCTCACGACCAGACCCCACTTTTATAATCTGGACTTGGAAGATGCCTGCCAGCCCCAGGGATACCTTTTTGGTTCCCTCTCAGTGGGATGTGGGGACTGAAACACATCAGAACACAAGCAGCACTCACTACTTGAGCAGCTACAACTTCATTGCACGTGATTATTGGCAGGGAGGACCTACGGGGTTTGTTGAGGAGGAAGGATGAGGCCAGGAGAGCAAGAGCATTGGCCAGCAGCTGTTGTGTTAGAAAGGCACTGGGAAAGCTGCTGTTGCACAGCACAGCTGTGCTGCCTTATGCCAACTTCCGAGAGGTTGTTCTGCTACTGATGTGCTGTTCAACCTTGGGTGTGTCATTTAGGCATTACTAATTGGTTTGGGATTTTTTTTTATGTTGTTTTATAATAGGATTGTTGTTTGGGGAAAGAAAGTTGCAACCAGAGTGAAGAGAGCAGGACTCAGGGGATGAAAGGGTGATGGGAGCAGGGACAGGTACCACGGTCCTTGTAACATCCCAATTCCCTGATCACCACTTGTAAGACTTGGAGATGTTTGATCCCTCTCACAATGGTGACAGCACTCGGGGCAGGGTGAGTAGGGCAAGGAGGGCTTTCTGATTTGGGGGCACCACAGTCATAATCCTTCCTCTTCCCTCCTGACAGAGGGGGAGGGAGTCACCAGCCCTGACTGCAGCTCTCCCCAGGAAAACAAACCCAAGCAACTGACCCTTCAGGAACAAAAAGCCCTTTGCTGGCAGGACAGAAAGGCAAACGGGTTGTTCTGATCTGTCCAGGTTGAAATTAGTGCTGAGGCCATTTGTGCTTAAACCAGTTTTTCATTTCAAGCTCTTATCAGATGAATGTGGTGGATATGGAAGGAGCCACAGACACTGAAGTTGTTTTCATGGCAGCAGGAGGGGAAACCGTGGGCTTGGGCTGCACAATGAAGCTGTAGGAGATGTGGGCCAAAAAAAGAAAAGCTTTCCTTGCAAATCAGAAGCTCGAAAGCAATTAAAGAAAAGCGAGGAGTTTGGAATAGCATGGAAAATTAGTTGTCATTTTGAACACTTTATTCTCTTGTATCATATTTGCCTCGCTGTGAGAGCTGTTTCCTAAATTAATAAAAGCAATCTGTAGTGTAACAAGGCAGTGAGGGGCTCCCTCAGCCTCAGCTGGCACCTATTGTGTTTGCAAATCTCAGGAACTCACCTGAACAAATAACTGGGCTCCCTGCTGCCTTATCTCTCCACACTGAATTGTCCATCCCTCCTGCACTGTGTGTACCCAGCACAACAACCCACCTCTCACCCTCAAGCCTCCTGACATGATTAACTGTGGTATCTTTAATAAAACCTGCGGCAATATTTCCTCCTAAAGCGGAGTGAAGATTTCATTTACCCCTTCTCCTTTATTTTGCCAAATTCCATTTTTATTTCACTGAATAATTAATCAGGCGCTGGGGCATGTGACAGCTTGGCTTAAATTTAGTTCTCACTTCTCCTCTGCAGCCCTGTCGGATACAGTTGGCCGGTCAAACACAGAGTTGGGTTTGTCTGAAAAAGCAACACAGACATTGCCAATCTGGATCAGATCTTTACCCATCAAGTCTAACATCTTGTCTCCAAGGGCAGCCAGCATCAGGCACTCAGGAGAGTGAGAGGTGCACCAGGTGCTGGAGGAGAAATCTGCACTAACACACAACCTGCCCAAAGGGGAAGGTGTTCCTGACCCTGGGTGTCCTCTGCCATGAGAGGGTGGCTGTGCCCAACACAGGGAGGGCACAAACACACACTCCTTCTGAAGTCTGGGTAGCTGCTGAGCTTTGTGCTCACTCTGAGTGCCCGAGGGACAGTCCAAACCACTTGGAGCTTGCCCAGCCGGGTGAAAATAATAGTGTGTGCAAAGCCTGGAGGCTGCTCAAAGGCTTAGACCCTGCGAAAATGTGAGAGGGTAACATGGGGCAGATTATTTTCTGCAAAATGCAGAACTCCAGGCACTGTAAGACAGAACGTGAGATCATTTCAGTCCTATACCGATCTCCACACCAGGGAAGTGCAGCACAGAGATTAATGCTGCACGGGGCTGTGAGATTTGTTTAATTTTTACCCTTTCCCCATGTAGGGTTTCTTTTCTAGTTTGATTCATTTCACCTTCCCACTAAACACTAAACATCTGCAAGGTGATTATAGGCACTGCTGCACTAAATTGCTTCTGCTCCTTGATACCCTTCCCAGCTCTGTGCAGCTCTGCTCCTCCAGGCTATTATTCCCAGAGCTGGATAAGCTGGACCTACGTCTTGCCTTTTGGCGACCTGATATGAAGAATCATCTCCCAAAGGAGGACAGGGCTTAGATATGCCATGCCAACACCTGGATGTTTCTTGGAATGACTGTCCATGTCAGGACATCAGGTCGTGATGAGGTGGGTTGGGGATTTGGCAGGTTTGGGGATTGGAGTGTTTGATAGGAAGTAGGATGAGGAAAGGAGGTTAGGGGTGAGATCCTGGTCTGGGGAGGCACTGGGAAATAGTTCTCATTAAAATAATAGCAAACAACAGCAGGTAGATAATATATATTGGACATACAGAGAGAGAAGTGGAGAAACAGAGAGAGGATGTGAACAAAACACAATCACACATATTTATACATATTGCCTAATTGTAAGGAGATTTTATTAGATCAAAAGTGAATCAAAAGGGATTACCTTAAAAAAAATATGAAAAAATAAATAAATAAAAAAATCACAATATAACAAAGCAAATTGCCCAAAGTGTGAGGTTTTCTAAGCAGTAGAACCAGGAAGAGCTTTCACTGGCATCTAGTGGTGCATTGCAGAGGCAGCTGATGGCACAGCTGCACTTCCAGAGTGGGTTTCCCTGGGATAGCAGAGACTGTTCAGGCTTGGAGGGGACACCACTCCCAAACTGGGCTTAGGAAGACACGATTTTGGACACAGCCTAACTCTGCCCTGAAACTTTGCCCATGAAGCCCTTTTGGGGATGAACAAGGTGCTCTGAGTCTATTTTGACTGCAGGAGAAAAACCTTGGGATCATATCAAGGATCATATCTCACTTTTCTTGGATTTTGGGGCTTGGCATGGGCCTGAGGGGCCATCAGGCAGATGTGGTTTGTTTGAAGAAGAGGATGAGCCGGGAAAATGCAGATGTCAATGGAGAGAAACAGGAGCTCTGAGGGCACAAGTCAAATGCCCTGGTAGAGGTATCCACTTTGGAGTAAGGTAAACTGTGCCCCAGTGGATGAATGGACACTGACACAGATGGAATGGCAGGATCCTGGCCCCTCCTCCAGAACTTTCTGGCAGCAAAGGAGTCACACAAACATTCCCCTCTCAGTTGCTCCATGTCAGCCCCTCATCCATGTCCTGCCCCAACCTCTCACCCTCCATGGAACCACACACCCAGATGAGCTGGTTGGTGGGGCTGCTGACTGGAACTGAGCAGGATTTGTGGGAAGATATTATGGAAATAGGAAGGATGGAAAGTGGGGCATGTTGCCTAAGGAGTCCTGAACATGACTTGGGATCTGCTGTGGCCCTACACTGTGGTCTCTCCTGTCTGTAAGGGACCTGCTGTGGCACTTGTGCCTCAAAGCTGACCAGCTTTAGTAAAGCAAACTGAATGAGGCTTGTGTATCTTCTCTGTGCATGTACTGGTGTAAAGATGGTTGAATTTTTATTACTTCTTTCCTCTCTGGTCTGGGATACAAGCTGGAATGTAGGTGCACCTTCAAACTGGTGCCGCTGCCTCATCCTGCTGGTTTGTACTGGGGTAGGAAATACATCAGCAGACTTTTAGCTCAGGCATGTAAAGAGTGTAGAGTAAATCTGAACTCCAGGGACCCTGTAACTTTAAATTTCCATGTGTGATCCAAGCCAGACACCTCACCATCTCCTGCATCAGTTTGCCTGGGTCAGAGAGGGGGAGAACAGCATGTTTGCAGCCTTGTGTCATATTTAGGACAGGATTGGAGGTGCTGGTGCATGCAGGAATGAGTGTTATTGTCCAGCCTCAGAGACATAGACAGCACCTAGCGACTGGTCCAGGGAAGAGTCATGCTGCAGCAGCTTTTCATCATTCCCATGTTCCTAAAACCCTCACAGGGAAGCATCCTGAGCTAGAGCTTCCTGCTGATCCTCCAAGCCTCATTGTGCAGCGCAGATTCAGGAAGGTTTGGGTGCTTCCCATGAGGTCCTGCTGAGGCTCAGCCTCTCCCAGGCTGTGCTCATCCCTCTGCTAAATCTACTCCACGTGCCTCAGCGTCCCCCCTTGTCAAATCCACTCACTCCTTCTGTGCTGTCACTGAGCATCAAAGTGATCCTTTGCTAGTAAATGGGCACAAGCCTCGATGGCTGTCACCCCTCCAAGGGGGATTGCAAACTGCTACAGACACAGAAATACTCCCTGGAATGCGTCTTTCCTGACACTTCCTGGAGCAACTCCCAGACAATCAGCCCGGGAGGGAAGAAGGATGCTTGCAGTGCCTCAGGATGTTTTCCTTCCCACGAAAACAACAAAAAAAGGAACACTCTCAGCTGGGGCAAAAGGGAAATGTCCCGATGCTGACCCAGTGGCCAGAGCAGGGAAGGCGGGATAGGGACCAGCGATGCAGAAGGGGAACTACAATTCCCAGAAGGCAGCGCAAGCCGGGGACCCTTCCAGCTTCCCACCAACATAACGGTGCAGAAGAAAGACTCATCAGGGACAAATTCCCCTCCGCTCCCTCCCAGCGCTCCCGCCGACACCTTGGCGGTGGCGTGGAAATCCCTCCGGGCGTTCCGAGCTGAGAGCATCTTCCCTGGCCCCCCCCCGCTCCGCCAACCTTTGCTCTCCGGCTTTGTTTGGCTTCACCCTTCCTCCGGTAGCTCTCTCTGCTCTGGCCACAGACTTCCTTTAGGTCAGCCCGGCTCTGGCCGCGACACAACTTCCAGTCCAGTCACACGGTTGTGCCGCCGAGGATGCCCCGGAGGAGGGAGATGCCCGCCCGAACCTGAGGCACCGCTCAGGTAAGAGGCGTTCGTTCGTCCCTGTAGCCCAAAGGAAAGACGAAGCAACTCCCTGGCATCTGATTCTGCCCTTGATTCAAACCCTGAGCCCCGGGGCTTGCGGAGCTGGAAGTAAAGGGAGGATTTGGATCCGTAAGATGTGCAGACTTGGGGCGGGGGAGGGAGGGGGGGGAAGTGAAAGGGAGAAAGTAGGCAGGTGATTCTTCTTTTGTCCTTTTTTAAGGATTTGTTGGGTTTTGCCAAAAATCCAGGCAACAGAAACGCTGCTGGTGGTGAGAGGTGCCTGTAAGGGACGGGCGAGAGCATCCATGGCGAGGGGAGAGGCCGTGGGCACCGCATTGAGCCACTGGCATCTGCGGCCGACCGTGTCCCCCCGGCGTCACCCACACCCCCCGGGAGGGTCCTTGGTGCCGCGAGGCTCAATCCACTACCCACTCAGGGGGTTAGTGACCTTCCTTAATAAAAATACAATACTGAACTTTTCTGAGTCCTGTTTCCAGCCTGGCTGCTGCTGAGGCTTTGTCTGCGTTAAAATAAAACCTGTTGTAGTGTCACACAGCTGCTCCCCCCTCTATGGAGAAATCTTGGCCCCTCCCCTCCAACAGCGAATGCTGAACCCAGTTCCTGCTCCTGCTCCAAGAGGGTGTGTCTTGTCTCTCCTGGTTCGGTATAACTTTTCAGGTAGTTGATTTTTTTTGTTTTATCATCATCATCATTATCATCATTATCATTATTATGATCACTGATTTTGTTTTCCTGTGATTCCTCTGTACCATCATGGAGCACTCAGCTCGGACAGGAGCACTGTTGTGTTTTGGACATAGCTCTTACCAGCATCAGTGGGGATCCAGATGGATCAGCTGGAAGGGAAACATGACTAAATCTGAAGTAATTTTCCCCATTATAATTGAACTCTTCATTTACCACTCTGACCCCTCTCTTCTGAAGACCCTGTAGCTGCAAACTCAGCACCACAGTTGTGCCTGGATGTTTATACTCCACGTGTCCCACCACTTGTCCCTTGACCCATGGCATCCCCCCTCCCCTGCACTTCAGTGACAAGCTCCCCAGCGACTCATCTTCTCAGCCATGGCATGCCAGACCTCCAGGGATGAGGTGACATTGGCAGCATGTTTCCTTGCTGGCCTCCTACCCCATAACTGGAGATTTTGGCAGCCTCACCTTCAGCCATCAGTACCATCAGTGAAATCATGCCCAGCCACACGTGCTCTTGTTGACAGGCATCTCCAGCACCACTGCCTTCCTCCCCTCAGCCTTTCTGGCTCCTCTCCCTGCTGCAATTCACACTCCTGATAGGAGATGTTGCTCACATCTCTCTTGGCCTTGATTTATTTATTTTTTCTAATGGAAATACTTAGGATCAAGACCCTTCTGCCAGTTGAACCATCTTGAGGAGGACAAAGGCCTTTTAGCTTTCCATGTGTCCCTTCTCCAGCTGCCCACTGAGGACACCACTGACTTGTCCTCCCCTGTGCATGGAGATCTGCCAGCCCAAAGCAGGACACTCCAGTTTTGCAAGTGATGCCAAGTTTGGGTTTTCTTCTCAGTTCAAGGGATTTCAGTTGCTGCAGAGTCACTCCCCAAAAATGAGTCTAATTGAAATGCAAAGTGCATTACTTAATTAACTTACATTTCTACTTGGTCAAAGGACAGAGGGCTGTTCTAAGAGTAAATCACTAGTGCAGCAATAGAAGAACTGAAACCTCCGTGCCATTACAGCAGTAAGTGCATCACAGATCCCTCATTGCCAGGGGAAATCATCCTGTTCCTGCCCTCTCTGCTCGTGTCCAGCTGGGCCTGTGCCTTCACAGATCTCAGGTTCAGTCTTTCCTGCAGCCACCAAGGTGTCACCCATTGCGTTGACACAGTGAACACAGGAGGTGGAGAAGAAATAATAACCTAATTATTTCCCCTTTATTTTTTCAGTCTGGCAATTTGAGTCTCCAGGAATACCAGAGAAGCCTTTCCAGGAATGCCAGAGAAGCCTGTCCAGATGAGAGGAGGCAGGAGATGGAGTTACAAACATTGAATCTACAAGGATGAAGAATGAGGAAGACCACACAGTCCGTATTGGCCTAGAGCTGGCATACAGCATGGCATACACCTGTTTCCTGCAGGGAATAAAGTACATCCATTCAAGTACACTTTGATGTGTGTGTCCTGAGGGTTTTTGTATCCCCACAGACACTCCATCCCCATGACTCTGTGGCTCTGTTGTACCCACCAGCTGCTTAGCAGCCCCACGGGGTTCAGGGCACTGGGCCACTGCTGCCATGAAGGACATCTTTAAGCACAGGGTGCCGAAGACCCACCCATGTCAGGAGTGTGGGAAATCCTTCAGCAAGAAGGGAAACCTGAAGAGACACCAGCGGATCCACACGGCCAAGGAGCTGTTCACCTGCGGGGAGTGTGGGAGGCGCTTCAGCGCCCAGGGCCACCTCACCACCCACCAGAGCATCCACACGGGAGAGAGACCCTTCTGCTGTGGGGAGTGTGGGCGCTGCTGCCACCTGGAGATGTGCCTGGCTGCCCACCAGAGGACACACGCCAAGGGGGGCCCCTTCCCCTGCGCCCGCTGCGGGAAGAGCCTGAGCACCAGGATCTACTTCAACATCCACATGCGCACCCACAGGGAGAGGAGGCCGTTCGCCTGCGCGGAGTGTGGGAAGAGCTTTGTGAAGAAGGGCACCCTCACCGCCCACAGGGAAACCCACAAGAGGGAGAAGCCCTTCAAATGCCCCGAGTGCAGCAGGTGCTTTGGGCAAAGGGCCACGCTGGTGGCTCACCAGAATATCCACCTCCGCGGGGGACCCTTCATCTGCACGGAGTGTGGGAAGAGCTTGAGCACCAAGAGGTATTTTGATGTCCACCAGAGGAATCACGCCAAGCAAAAGGGGCACATCAACAGTGTGTCTCTCCGGGTCATCCAGGTTAAAGAGGAGCATGAGTTTGCCCTCAGGTCAGAGGAGAGTGTGTTGGAGAATGTGGCTCGTGAAGGAGATGTAGCCCAGGGGTGTAGCATACCTAGAAACCCATCTAATCCAAAAAACCCTCCTTGGAAAATCCAGGTGAAGGAGGAGCCAGAGCCACTCACTGATGACACAGCAAGCACTACTGCAGTAGCCTGCCAGAAACTTTACATCAAGGAAGAGCCACCAGAAAACCTGGACTATGGAAAGCTCTTTGATCCAAAGATCCCACTGCTGGCTTTACAGGGGAGACAGCCTAAAAAGGAAGATGCTGATGGGCAGCATGAACAGGAAGTCGCTGTAACCAGTAACCATGTACTCCATGTGAAGGAAGAACCAGAGGAAAGCATTGACTTTGGGATGCATTACAGGCAGAAGCCAAACCTCAGTGCTATCCAAAGGATCCAGATTAAAGAGGAACCTGGTGTGGAGGCCAACCACCAGGAGAGCCCAAAGAGGAAGCAGAAGAAATGCTGCCAGTCCACCAAAGAGGGAATGCTGGAGAACCAGGAGAAACCCACATCCAAGAGAGATCCCTCAGCGAAAGGAGCTCCCAAGGGTGAGCGGACGTTTCCCTGCCCCGAGTGCGGGAAGAGTTTCAACCAGAAGTCGAACCTGACCAGGCACAGGAAGATCCACACGAGCGAGGGGCCCTACAAGTGCGGGGAGTGCGGGGAGAGCTTCCGCATGAGCCGCAAGCTGGTCCGGCACCAGCGCGCCCACGTCAGCGAGCCCTTCAAGTGCCCCGAGTGCAGGAAGAGCTTCACCCAGCGCTCCAACCTGGTCCGGCACCAGAGGATCCACACCAAGGAGGAGCCCTACCAGTGCCCGGAGTGCGAGAAGACCTTCAACCAGAAGGCCAACCTCTTCCGCCACCAGTCGATCCACGTCCGCATGGGCCCTTGTAAGTGCACCAAGTGCGGGAAGTGCTTCCCGCATAAGCGCCTCCTGATCAAACACCAGCTGCTCCACTCCCGAGGGGGAGCCTACAAGTGTGGGGTCTGTGGGAAGCGCTACCGGCTGAAGAAGTACCTGAGGAGGCACCAGAAAATCCACGCGCGGGAAGGAACCGCTCCCTGCTCGGATCTTGGGGAGACCACGGAGGCTGGACCCCACCACGCTGAACAGAGGGCACTGGCCCCCATGAAGAGTGAAGAGGAGAGCTGAGCAGTGGGATGCCTGCTCCTGTGGGAAGGTCCTTTGGGAAAGGGGAGAGATGGAGACAAACTGCTCGCCTTATGTGTGGGGGTGGGTGGGTCAACCTGAAGGTTCAGCGGGGCCAAGGGGCAGAGGAGAGCTGGAAAACAGTAGTCTGGCACTTTTCTGAGGACAACCCTTGAGGTATCACTTGTTCACAGCTGTGGGATGGGGCTGGGGACCCAAGGACTTGGAGGTGGAGGGATAAGAGCTTGGCATCCTTTGTCATGGTGTGCGTGTGCTGCTAAAGGCTGCCAAAGTTGTGGATGCCGAAATTATCTTGTGTGGACAATATGTAGCCAGGAGGACCAGGCAGGATTTCTTTTTGTTAGGTTACTGTGTTTCTGAGAAAGATGAAGGGAACCTCTCCCATCTGGTCAAGTGTTTAAAGCAAGAGCCGAGTCCCCTATTCTCCCTCATGTATCTCTGATCCACACCTTGATTCTCCTGGGCTGATGGACCCTTGTCCGCTGGGAGAAGCTACTGCCAGCCAGACCAGGGTTCTAAGCCTCAAATCCCCCAAACCAGGCTCCCAGATTGGCTTAAGCCACATCCCTGAACAGGGCATGATTTAGTGAGTTCAAACCAAGTAGCAGGAATAGTTGAAAATGTCTTCAGGCTTTATGGACTAGAGAATTGAAAATTATTTCCCTATTGGGACGTTTTCCCTTCCCAGTGCAAAGGAGACTGTGCAGCTACTCAAAAGGATGGACAGTTCAGCATCACTCACTGCTGATGGTTTGTTTGAGTGTTCCCTGGTCAGATGAATCTTTGTGTCTTGAAAGCCCCTGGTGGAGTTGTGATGGAATCCAAAATTCCCTGAGCCATTCCCCCAGATTTCTCTGCAGCGCTTCTGTGGCCACCTGGCAATGCCAAGCAAAGACATATATTGGGGTTCCTCATGTTGCTGTAGTACACAGAGTCCAAGAAGCAAGCCTACCTCAGTCCCCTCACCTGTAAACTGTAGATAAACTGGTTCCTATGAAGTTTCCCCTCAAACCCCTCTGATCTGGTGGAGATTCTTTTTTGGGACAGAAAAGGCTGATGTACAGGGGAAAACAACAAGTTTAGGATGTTCCAGGGGAGACTAAAGGACACACTTGTTAGAAAAATGGATCTGGGCCATATGCTGGGGAGAAATCTCTCTACAGGGCTGGGAAACCATGGTTTTGGGAACAATAAGGCTGAGCCAAACTAGCCAAACAAAACAGCTTCTTTTTGGCTTGAGGAGCAGGGTAGGGATACAGTAGAGAATGCCAGTGAGAGAAAATGCTCACCAGATGGATGGCATTTATTTCCTTTTCATTAGCTGAGCATAGTCAGACTGTAGAGACTTTTACCAGGAAGAAGAACTGGTGTGAGAGGTTTGCCAGGTGAGTTATTGTTTCCATGCAATAAGTCAGTGCCAGTAGGTTTCCTGGACATCACCGGATCTTCCATCACTGTGGGTGTCCTAGCTTTTGGGGAAGATGAGGGCTGATAGTTTGTAATATCTTCTCAATAAACAAGTGTTTAAACAAAAAAAGGAACAAAGTGGGTGTCTTTTCTCTTGTTGATTTTTGGGTTTTTTTATGAACTGTAAGAGTCAGAACAGCACTACATTCTCCACACAGTGCAACAGGTGAGCAAAACAAAAGCCAAGTGGGTTTTTCTGGGGATTATCACAAAATGACAGAATGGTTTGGGTTGGAAGAGACCTTAAGGGTCATCTAGTTCCACCCCCCCTGCCATGGGCAGGGACACCAGGACTGAACAAAGCCAAGTCCTCACAGTAGCAAAACAGCCTTCAACCTTTTCTCCCTACACCCATTAAAAGGGCTCCCAGATAATAACACCAAAATGCTTAAAATCTCAATAACTGCCTCATTTTTCGCTGCATAGGTTTTATGCAGAAACCCACGTGTCAGCATTCCCTGAGCAGTCTCTGTCACCAAGTGCAAAGGATGCCCACACAGTCTGGTTTTGCCTTAAAGTCTGTACAGTAAATTCAGGATCTCAGTGGAGTTAAACCAAAGTGAATGTTTGGTTGAGGAAGAGAGATCCAAGCTCTGATGACTTTTTTTAAAAAGAAATCTGGTCTTCCACCATGGGTCAGGTAAGGCTTGTCTGGAGACAACTGCTGTCCTATTTCTGGCTATGCACATTGTTTCCATGGATTTCGGGAGGAATTTGGCTGAGGATCACCTCGCTGACTCTTGACTATCTGTGTGTATGATCTCAGTTCTGTCTCCAGCATTCAGCATGGCCTGTCTGGATGGAGATGGAGACAGGCTGTGGTGGGGAGCACTTGAACAAGAGAGCACATTTCGTGCTTCCGTGGGACACGTGGAGCTAAATGGTGCTTGGTGTGTTCTGGTGTGGTGGGAATGAGAGGGTCCCTGGCTCCAGAGCAATTGAAGTGCCCTGGGATGTTTACTTGTCCTTTGAGAACATGAACAGTTCCCATGAGAACTTGTTGGAGAATCCCAGGCTGCAGGGAGCCCTGGTGTCCGCACAGATGGGGAGCGAGGAAAGGAAAAACACCAGGGTGAAAACTGGGTGAGCAACAGGATACTCAGGATCACATACTTTACACATGCTTTATCTGCTCACTTTTGACTTTCAGCCTTCGTGGGGAATGAAATTTACTTACTACCACCTCTTATCCCATCCAGAGCCAAAGGGATGCAGCCAGGTAGCACCACATGGGGCCAGGTTATCGAGCTGAAGTGCCTGAAACCAAGGCACACTTCACTCCTCTCCTTGTCCTCTCCTCTCCACAAGGCCACTGCCTCCATCTCCTGACCCAGAGCACAGTCCCTCCCTTCAAAGGGGTTTCTTGTGATGGAACAAAGCAAAGATGAGAGATCTCCATCAAAGCACCAAAGCTTCTGACTGGTCACCACCTGAACAAGGCCATAGAAAAATCTCTGATCTCACTAAGCTTAAAGGTCCCTTCCAACTCAAACCATTCCTTGATTCTATGATATCATCCCCCAAAAAGGTACCTGGTGCAACAGCATAAGGTCACAGATACCAGGGGACCTCACTTCTCCTTTGCCCAAGGCTTCTCTTCAACTATCCAACTGTTTCAATATGCCTGTGTCATCTCACATCCTTAACTAAAAAAAAATACAAGAGCAAAACAAAAAAAAAAGAGAGCATGAAAACACCCCATTTCCTCCTAGTTTTTGTCCTTTATTTTGAACCAAAGAGAATGTCAATGTCACTCCTTTTTGTGGCCTCTTGGCACGTTCTTTCTGAGCCAGGAGTGTGACAGGGAACAATCCAGAGTGTACCTTCCTACCCAAAAGGTCAAGAAAAACTGGAACTGTGTTTCCCCAGTATACTAAATTCCTGTAAAAGACAAGCATAATAGTTACAGTATTTCAGCCTAATTTTAGAGATGGGGAAACTGAGGCTAACTTTGGATCTAAACAAAATCCTACAAACAATGTCAGGTGCACATCCTCATGCTTCTGTTCCCCCATGTCAGGCTTTGAAACAGTTGTGGACTCATTTAATCTGAATAAAGATGTCAGGAGAAATTTGTTCAACTTCTAAGTGACACATATTTGAAATCACAAAACACAAAATATGCAATGGCCAACACAGACTGAACTCCTTTTTTACTGTTCAGTTATTTTTCTGGGTTTTTTTTAATTAGTATTTTCTTTTAAACCTCCTGAGAGTGCCCTCCCAACATTCAACCTTTACTGCCAGAGCTGCTGCCTGCAAGGTGCTGCTGATAAATAGCCAGGCAAAGTGGCTGTGTCTGTGTGAGTAATTCAACCAGGCCAAGGACACTTCTCCAGCCCTGGGGGCACCCATCTGGCTTGCATCCATACAGCTAAACTCAATTCAGGATGGCATCATCCAGCTCTGCCCTGGAACTCATCCTTGGCTCCAGCTCTGGCTCAGGTTAAAAGTTTCAGCATGAAATTTGAGAAAATTGTGCTCCTCTGTGCAGGAACATCATGGGATTTTTTTCAGTGACATGGCTTAGGGTTCCCTTTATCCTGAATTAGCACATGTTCAGCCTTCACCAAATTGTCTAGAAATTGCTCTGTGGCCCAGGCTGGCAGGGCCATGGATTTACTGTGGGTTTCTGAGGGCATCACTACTAGTCATAGTCACAGATTAATCCAGACGGTAACTGCTACAAAGTACCCAGGAACAGGCTTCCCTCGGAGCTGGAGACTCACAGGGAGACTCAGCCACATGGAGGAAACTATTGTCTTGGACTCACTGGGTGGAGAACCCCTTCACTGTGTCTGGTAGAGGATGCAGACCTGGGCTCTGCCACTGTCTCACCAAACATCCTCTTCCAAGTCACCTCATTCACTGTGAGGGTAGTGAGGCCCTGGCACAGGTTGCCCAGAGAAGCTGTGGGCAACACAGATGAGATGCCCGATCCCTGGAAGTGTTCAAGGCCAGGTTGGACAGGGCTTGGAGCAACCTGGGATATGGAATGTTTCCCTGCCCATGGCAGGGGGGTGTGACTGGATGATCTTTAAACTCCCTTCAACCTAAAGCATTCTATGATTCTATGATCCTGCAGTGTTACTGCCAGACCTTAGTTCAGAAAGAGCAAAAAGGGAGTTCAACACTCTCTTCACAGAGCTGAGGGCTCCCCGTGGCCAGAGCAACACCCTCCACACTCCCACTCCCTCTTTAGCTGCCAGATTTTGCCTTTGAAATTGCACAAAGGTGGTGAGACACAACACTGATTTTCAGTACCTTTCTGTGCCTTTGGAGCTCAAGCAGCCCCAATCCCCAATGAAATCACCTGGTGTGAAGCCATCCAGTTCTCCCCATGCTTTCAGTACCTGGATTCTGCTTGTGCCCTGTGCTCCATCCCCCCTTACGGTCCCTGCTGCTCTGCGTCCTGTCCTTTAAATTAATATCTTGCCATTAACTACAGCAAAGAGCTCTGATGCCATGAAGCGATGGCAGGAGCTGAAGGAAGGATTGATACACCATTACCTTGCAAAAACTGGGCCAGCTTGTGCATGTGGTCACCAGATAAGCCAAATGGATAGTTACACAAAATTAAGGACCATTTCCATTTTATTCTTTTCTCCCCCCAGTAGATCTGTGTGATTTTGAAAATTTCCTTCAGCATTCCTGTCGTTTTAATCGACCTTTTTTTTCCCCTACATTTGTTTCCTGGTGGTAAATTCGTCAGCCCTAAACAGGCAGAGCGATAACAGACCGTGATAACAGCGCAGGAAACTATCACATGAAAAGCAGGGAATTAATTCATTCACTGGAAAACAGGCCGTGGTGGAAGACTGCTGCTTCCTGAAGGCTTTGTATCCTTTTAAGCTTGCTTTTTTTTCTGTGTGTCTGTGTGTGTGTGCAAGATGTTCTTGCTCCAGTAATCTTTGCACGGCTCTGCCCTATTTCTGGGAGCTGCAGAGACAGCGAGCTGGCGTGCGGGCTCAGCCCTCGCCTCGTCCCTTGTTTGGGGATTTTTCTTTCAGGAATTAAAGGACAGCGAGGAATAAATTATCCAGCACCCCTTTCCTAACCGATTTCTTTAACTCACATTATGTCTTGCTAATAATCCCACTGCACATAAACAAGCCGGGGCCGGGACGGTCAGGAAGCAGCTACGCACATCACATGGCACAGCTCCTGCCCTGATTAGGTGACTGCTTTTCCAGCCAGGGGATTATGAGAGATGAGTAACAGAGCATGTTACTGGAGCATGGACACGAGAAGAAAAGGCTTTGCCTGAGCATCTTCCAAATGAGACCCCAGAGGACAATTAGTAGAGTGTGAGCACGGCCCATTTGGACGCTGCTCTGGGGGAGAGAAGCAGCTCCGTGTTTATGAGCTGTGGTTGGGCAGCTTTCCATGGGCTTTCTAGAAAAGTTTGACAGCCTTGGGGTGAATGAAGATAAATTCTTTGATAACAAAGTCTCTCACCTGCAAATCTTCCCAATGTCGACTAAGGAAATAAAACAAATTCGGAATGTATTTATTTTTTCCCTATCTCAGTGGTTGTGGGTCCACACGGTGTGATTTTTGGGGTTGCCCTGGGCATGGCCAAGAGATGGACTCAATCATCCTTGTGGGTCCCTTCCAACTGAGGATATTGCATGATTCTATGGTTCTATGATTCTATACTCTGGGGCTGGCTTTGTCTCACCTGAATTCCTGTCTCTACAGCACAGATGTAAACATCTGAGCTCATCACCCCCTATTTAAAACAAGCACACAAAAAAACAAACAAAAAACCCAAACAAACAAGCAAACCAAAAAAAAATAAAGAAAAATAAAGAAAGAGATGGAGAAAGTAATTTTTTCTGCTCTATTTAAATTACGACTTTGGGATTAGACTCCAGGACTCTTTCTGGCCACATCCCCACGAGCAGCAAAGGGGAGCCAGGCTCGGAGCGAGATATCCCCATCAGCCCGTGGTGTTTTTAGCCCACAGTATCCAATCTATTTGGGAAGAGAGCAGGGGCTGTAGGGCCATGGGCTGCACAGCCAGCAGTTATTGGACACAGTTGGTG